CGGCCCGCGGCCCGCCGCCTTGCCCGCCCGCCCGCCCGGGCGCACGCGGCTGCAGACAGGGCGCTGGTTCCTGTCCCGGTGCCCCCTCCCGGCGCTGCTGCTGGGGCGCCTGCCCGGGGCAGCACAGCCGCGAGCGGGACCCCCGCTGCCTCCCCTGCAGGGCTCCGGCCCTGGCCGTAGTTTGCCAAGTCCCGTGATTGTGTCTGGCGGCGAGCAGGCGGGTTCAGGTGGGGCGAGGGCTGGTGTGCGACTGGGCGAGGGTGCTGGTTCCTGTCCCGGTGCCCCCTCCCGGCGCTGCTGCTGGGGCGCCTGCCCGGGGCAGCACAGCCGCGAGCGGGACCCCCGCTGCCTCCCCTGCAGGGCTCCGGCCCTGGCCGTAGTTTGCCAAGTCCCGTGATTGTGTCTGGCGGCGAGCAGGCGGGTTCAGGTGGGGCGAGGGCTGGTGTGCGACTGGGCGAGGGTGAGGAGCGGCAGATGGGCCTGAGATCCTTGCAGCGAGGCGTCCAACTTTGCACCCTTTCACGTTCTTTCCCCTCTGAGATCTGCATTTGCAATGGACAGGCAGAAACACAATCTTGGTTTGTATAGGCTTGGGCTAGATATGGTGTGTTCCTTTTGCAGAGGCCAAGTGGGGGAGGACTGTACTTGGACCCTAGAGGAAAGTTCACACCAGTAAATTAGACCCTGTAGGAAGATACTTTAATAGGGGCCATGCTGGATGCAAGCATGTGGAAATGCTGAAACAGTTCTCTTTTTGTGTCTTTCATACTACAGTTTAGCACCTTACATCTTTTTTTCAGCTCTGTCACCTATTTCCTTCTCCCCCCAATCTCCAGTCTCTCTTGCTGGATTTAATTAACTGCAGGTTAATTTGCAGTTCAATTTGCTCTGGCAGATTCTCAGTGCATTTAAGAAAGAAGGGAACAAGGCATTTCAATATGTGTGTGTTTGCTTTTATTTTCACAGAAATCAAAATGTTATTGGATAGGAAGTTAGGTGTTATGGTCTGGATTTTTATCTGTGTAAATCACTGTATCTGTTATCCTATACATGTGTGTAATATTCCAGTCTTGATTAGACAGAGTAATTGTAGCATGAAAGTTTTTCTTCATATTTCACATATGTTGTGTCCTCTTTAAAGTATGTACTTAATACATTAAAATGAAACCTGATAAATTGTTTTTAGAACGTTTCTGTGACCGTGGACTGACTGCTTTGAAGATATGACTTCTCTGGCTATGTTAATTAAATAAGCTTTTGGAAAAAAATGTTAGGCTCTGCAGATTTAAGGTAAAAACTATAATTCACGTGTGGTTAATCATCTCCATGTTTTTTTAAAAAGAAGCCAACCTGATAGGCCTACTTATTTTCAGTTACTACCACAGTTGTAATATTTTTTCTTACTTGGAAAAATGTAAAATAAGTAGTAAAACAAGCTGTTTAGTCCTCTCCTGTTGACATTAGTGAACAAATAGTAATATTTTGGTGCATAATTAACTGGTGCAATAGTCAAAAGCATAGTTGATGATAAGAGGAATAAGGATTTTGGTCCATTTATTTATAAGGCACATGAATGCTCCTGCTTCAGAGTATAAACCAGGTGCAGGAGAGGCATCTGGCCTGGGGGAGGAGTGTAGGAGGTAGGGATGTGAATGTTTAACTGGTTAACCAGTAAGCCTCATCCTTAATGGATGAGGTTTACTGGTTAAGATTAACCTGTGGGGGCTGGAGTAGCTCCCAGCCTGCCATGGGCCTTCTGCAGGTAGGGGCTGCCCTGGCATCCTGCTGGTGCATCCCCTGCCTGTGGCAGGATGGGGGATGGGATGGCATTGCTGTCTAGGAGCTGATGGAGAGGCTGCTTTAGCTGGGCTGCAGCAGCTCTCCCTGGCCTCTCTTTAATTGGTTAACAGGCTAACTAATATATTTAACTAGTTAACCAATTAAATGGGATTTTACATCCCTAGTAGCAGGGGGTGCAGGGAGGGAGCTTTGACCAAGGATGGGGGCGGGAAGAGGGGGTGCAGAGGGTTTGGATGGTGACCTGGGGCAGGAGGAGGTGGTGACCTGGGGCAGGGAGAGGGAGAGGTTGGGGTGCCAAAGTCAGGCTGTGGCCGGTAAGCGCTTACCTAGGCGGCTCCCGGCTAGCAGCCCTGCAGGACCCTGAGGCAGACTCCTTGACTGCTGCAGCTCCTGGCTGCTCAATATGGCTGGCTGCTCCGTGTCACTCTTTGCTCTGGGTGCTCGGAGGAGGAGGGAGGGGGCTTTGCACACTGTCCCGGCCCCCAACAAAATCTCTCAGCTCCCATTGGCTTCTTTTTGTGGAGCCGAGCCACAAGGAGCAGCTAGCTGCTTAAAGCAATGTGGAGCCACTTTGAAGCAGATGGCTCGCTTCTCTGTGCCATAGAGTTTGGTGGGGAGGCCTGTGAACCCGATTGGGTGGCCCATGGGATGACCCAGTGGCTTGGTGGGCCAGATCTTGTCTGCACTGATATAGACATTGGTGAATACAATAAGTTACTAGCCAGTTAAAAGTCTGTGGAGAAATTCTAGGCATATCTGCAGGACCCCTCCCCCAAAACCTGCAGAATGTCTGTATAGTTGGAAGGGATTCTTATTTTCTATTATGCCTACTCTTTTACTGGAATAACAAGTATGTTGTAAGGGTTTGTCTACACTGCCAAGTTTTGCTGCTGAAAGGAATATTGACATGCAGAAGTCGTCAAAATTAGAGTCGCCAAAGCGTGTTCACACTTGCTTCTTCTTTTGGCAGGTTGTGTCTACATTTTTAGCTCCGTTGTTGATACACACCAACAGTGCATTGCTCACAGTATCCCACAGTGCGTGGCAACACCGTCTGTTGATAGGTATTGTGGTGAGAATGTGTAATGGCACATGCCACATCTTGGGGACCGTGCAAAACATCCTGTCAGCCACTGCTTTGTTTTCCAGCTTCTAGGGGTTTCCGGTTTGCTTTTGCACCATTGTGCGCTCCAATATCTTTAGTGAAAAAGCATGGATCCCACACTTCTCTCCTATGCTCTGTTTAGTGTCGTGAGATCATCACGCATTGTAGCAGAATTAACAGAGGAATAAGAGTCACAGGCAGCTGATGTTCTGTGTGAGCTGGGACAGCAGCAATCTGTCATTGCATTTGACACTTACAGACTGGTAAGGCAGAGTGTCTCTTTTGGGCTTGGGCAGTTGTTCTCGACTTGTTTCAGTCTGTGGACCACCAGGCCAATCAAAACATTTTCAAGGACCACCTCCAGCACATGTAGCACAGGACGAACAACACAGCAACCACTCAGCATGATGGCAGCAGCTACACTGATGCTCAGAGCCTCAGACGGAAGTTACTGGCAACACAACGCAGTTGCATCCTAGGTGACGCTATGGATGATGCGCTGCGTGCTTGTGAACATGGCGTAAAACAGCCTAACGGCAGCACCTACTCATGTCGTGTGACTTTGGACAATGTTCCTGTGGACCACCGAAAAAGTCACTGTGGACCACCAGTGGCCCATGGACCACCAGTTGAGAACCACAGGGCTAAGGAAACCAGCATGATTGGTGGGATCACATTATCATGCACATGTGAGATGAAGACCAGTGGTTACTTAAAGATGCATAAAGCAGACTTCCTGGAACTGTATGCTGAGCTGACCCAGTGAACTGCGGCACAGGGACACCAGAATGAGAGCTGCCCTCTCAGTAGAGAAGTGTGGGGCAGTTACTGTCTGGAAGCTGGCATCTCAGTTTGAAGTGGGGAAGTTGACCATTGGGGCTGTGCTACTGCAAGTTTGCAGGGCAATAAGTCCCATTCTGCTATGGAGGATTGCGACTTCAGGAAATATGCATGACATACTGGATGGCTTTGCAGAAATGGGCCTTCCTAGCTGTGTGGGAGGTAGAAGATGGAACACATTTTGACTTTAGCACCAGACGGCCTTGTCACAGTAGAGAGCAATAGGAAGGGATACTGCTTGATGGTGCTACAGGTGGGGTCACCATGGGAATTTGACAAACATCAGTGAAAGATGGTCTGGAAAGGTGGATGATGTATACATCTTTAGGAACATTGGCCTGTGCAGAAAGCTGCAGGCAAGGACTTTCTTTCCAGACCACAAGATTTCAGTGGGAGGATATGGAAATACCCCATCTTGGAAGTAATGGAAGTAATCTTGGAAGACTCGGCTTACTCCTTGTAGCCCTGGCTCATGAAACCTTGTACAGAGCACCTGGACAGCAGCAAGAAGTGCTTTAACAGGCTGGCTGCGTCTAGACTGGCAAGTTTGCTTTTGCGGAAAGACTTGCCAGCTGTCCACACTGGCTGCTTGAATTTCCGCAAGAACACTGACAATCTCATGTAAGTATTTGCGGAAATACTAAGCTGCTCCCGTTTCGGCAAAAGCCATCTTGCGCAAATGCTTTTGCGCAAGAGGGCCAGTGTAGACAACGCGGTATTGTTTTGCGCAAAAAAGCCCCAATCGCGAAAATGACGAAAGTGCTTTTGCAGAAAAGCGTCCGTGCCAATCTAGACGCTCTTTTCCACAAATGCTTTTAATGGAAAACTTTTCCGTTAAAAGCATTTGTGGAAAATCATGCCAGTCTAGACGTAGCCGCCGAGTCTGTGCCTCATGGAAGTGGAACGTGCCTTTGGCAGATTGAAAGGAAGTAAATGTCTTTGTAAGGCTAGACCTTATAGAACAGACTTTCTATGACCATAGCTGTGTGCTGCACTTTGCATAATCTCTGTGAATCTAAGAGTGAAAGGTTTGCTCAGAGATGTTGTACAGAGGCACAGTGTTTAGCTGCAGAGTTTGAGCAGCCAGACATTAGGGATGTCAGAAGATTCCAGAGGGAACATCAGCGAGGTTTTGAGGAAACACTTTGACAATGAGCAGCACTGAAACCTACCTCTTTTGCCGTTGATTCCCTGCTGCATCCCATTTAACACATATCTGTACAAGAAAATGCTTGAGCGGCCTGTACCTTGGACCAAAGTGATTGCTATGCTTTGTAGAGCAGAAAATAAAATAATTGTGCCATTAAAAAAGTTTGCCTGTATTAGTCAGTGATATACCACAGCACCCATGTTTTCTGGTAAGGGAGGGGCTTCGAAAGCGTGAAACCTCACAACTGTAGGTCCAGCTGTCATGGTTAAAGTTGTGAGAGGGGGTGGAATGCAGGGGAAACTGAGGATTCAAAGAGAGTGAAAAGGAATGTGTGCGTGTACTGTACAGGATGGGCTGCTGGACAAAGAATTGTATATGTGCTGCAGGAGAGGTTAAGCCCAGATCTGCTCACTTTGCAGCTTGATTGCACACTTGAGCATCTCGGTTTGCTCCTCCACGACCTTGATCATACCATCTTTCCTATCCTGCCTCTCTTTTATCCATTGGTCCTCTTACCCTATATGGAGGAGTGCTTGATCACTTCCCTCACTAAGTCCTCTCTGTTGCGTTTGGGCTGCTTTCTTGTATGACTGCTGGGGTAGGCCCCTATGTCCACAAGTTCTCTGCTGTAAAACACAATGCACAAAGGGAAGAATTGTTAAATTCTAGTTCAACATTGAAACATTTAATTTACAAGCACCTTTTACAACACTCCTAATCGCTTTCTCACTGATCCTTGCAAGACACATACATCTCTGCAGGCACTGTAAACATGGTGAGTGTGGGGGAAAGAGGGGTGATGGACATGCATTGGGGCAAAAGAGAGTACAATTGTGGCTTGTGGAGCAGCTGTGCAGAGAAATTGTTCTTCTCTACAGGCGGGTATCACTGTAGCAGACCTCACACTGCTGAGGGTAAGGAGGGAAACCAGGGCTCAACTACTGGATGCCAGTAGTTATTTCCCGGCTCTGTATGCAGCTCATGTATGTGCTGCTTTGGTCCCTGCGCCATTGATTGCAGAAAGGTATGGGACAGTGCTCTACAACGGGGGAAGAAACACTGCAGCACTGCTGTGGAACTTGCAGCAGAGACTTGACAAGTACCTCAGGCAAAGTTTCCAGAGCATCTTTCTACAAGATTCTATTCACACCTTGGTGTGCATCAGTGCCGTGCTTGGACATAACAGTTAGCTACACAGGGCTACGCTCAGCCCACAGAATCACAGCCAGGCTCCCACTTTTCTGTGTCCTGCACGCACCTCTGCCAGAGCCACTTACCTAGTGTCTCATCTCCTGGGCATCTTGGGTACAGCACCAGAGCAACCCTTTGCCTTACTCACCTTATGGTATGGCTACATCAGCTCCTTTATCTTCGATCTGCACTGTAGCTTAGCTC